ATTCTATTCTATTCTATTCTATTCTATTCTATTCTATTCTATTCTATAGACTGTTTCCTCATATGATTTGATTGCTTATTGTACCCTATGACTATTATTAAGAGTTGTACCTGATGATTCTTGACTCTTGATGAATGTATTTTTTCCTTTTATGTACACTGAGAGCATTTGCACCAAGACAAATTCCTTGTGTGTCCAATCACACTTGGCCAATAAAGAATTCATTCATTCATTCATTCATTCATTCATTCATGTATGTTACAATGGTGCTGAGAAAAGTGGTACTTGCGACCATTTTCACACTTAACGACCGTTGCCACATTCTCATGGTCACATGATCAAAATTCAGTTGCTTGGCAACTTGACTCATATTTATGACGGTTGCAATGTCCCGGGGTCTTCTAATACAGTGATCCCCAACCTTTTTTATGCCACGGCCCGGTATCCCCAATCTTTTTTATGGCGCGGCCCGGTACCGGCATCAGCTGGGCGCCGCCATCTTGTTTTAATGAAAAAGTGCTTCCGGTGAGCTTTCTACCCGGAAAAGCTCACCGGAAGCACTTTTTCATCAAAACAAGATGGCGGCGCCCAGCAAGCCAGCGGCCCAGTAGGATTTGTTCCATGGACCGGTACCGGTCCGCGGACCGGTGGTTGGGGACCCCTGTTCTAATAGATCTTTTGACAAGCAAAGTCCAACGGAGAAGCCAGATTCACCTAACAAATGTGAGCAACATAAATTTTCACCTAACAAAATTTAGTAACATACATTTTGGGCTCAGTTGTGGTCTACTTGTATTGTTCTCCAGGTTGCTAAGCTTCTTCTTCCAGGGCATCTTACTGCTGGCTGAGCTATATATTGTTTGCATTTGTCTTGCCACATCTGAGCTACACATTGTTATTCATGGAGGCATGGGCTACTGTGCAATTTCCTTTACAGTAAGGTCAAGTAATTAGTCCTTGAGATTGAATTCCTAGGTGGAAAGATCTGCCAGGGTTTATCCATCCTGGTTACCTTCCCAGAGGGTTGGAAAAAAAGTATGGGATGTTGGGTTTGGCAGCGGGCCATTTTTTAATGCTAGCTTCATCTTGGGCTGACCTCTCTGTTAAAACTAATTTGGTTGAGGGCAAAAAAATTATCTGTCGCTCAGTTTTGCAAGTCTTTATGGTTAGCAGCAATGTTTGCTTTTTTTCGCCCACAATCGAAAGTCTCCAAATAGAAATAAGAAGGGAAATTATGCTTTTGAAGTTGTTGAGTATTTTTGCAAGGTGAAACATCTTGCAAAATATGAACTTCTAAAAAGCAACATTTGGGCATCTTTTCTTGTTCCTTCAGCCAGCTGTACTGGACTTAAGCACACATCTAGAATAAGTTTAAAAATTCCTTGATATGTGTCATTTTACAAAACTTATCAAAAAATACTTGCTGAGTACTTTGAGTACTTATCAGAAAATACTGGCTGAGTACTTTGCCAAAGTCTTTGCTTTGCACTCTTAAAAGTTTCACACAGACCTGACTTCAGCCTGATCTGTTATCTTTTAAAAGTCCTTTTGCAAAAATACGTAAAATGTATCATGTTCTTTACCATAAGGCTTTTAGCGATTATGAGGTTGCTTTTTGTTGTTAAGGTTCAGAAATTAATTTACTCGTTTCTTAAGTGCATCGAGTTCTTTTTTTTTTTTTTTTTTTGGCTACGTGGAATGAGAAAATTATGGGCAGGATTGTTGTAAGGTACATTTTAATGTCAAACTAATAACAGTTGGAATGGAGGAACTGAGTGGCTTCCTTTTTAAGATTAAATAAATATGAGATGCACCAAGTGGCTAAAACCCTTTCTGACTTAATGCATTCTTTTTGCAGCTCATCTTATTACTACCATGCTAAATACTTTCTCAATAATAAATCTTCTTCATGGGGCTAAATACAAGGAGGTTGTTAGGGATACACCTGACAGCAGTCAGGCAGGCAGGCAAATATGTGAGATAAACGTTTTTGTAGCTTATACTCAGTAAAACAGATACACTGTGCTAGTTAAATAGTTTATTCCAGTAAGAGTTTTAGCATAGTCAAACAGTCCATATATCATTCAATAGTTCAGTCCGTTCGGGGATTATTCAGTTGCAAAGTCCAGTGTCGAAAAAGAGGTCAGTAAACTTACAAATATCAGTCCAGTAATATATCTTCTCGCAGTAGAGATATAAAGAAGTCAAACCTCCTTTCTTCCTTCGACATTCAAAAACTCAGCAGCAGGGAACACGCAGTTAGCAAACCATCAATCCAGCATAGTCAGCAAGCAAGCAAGCAAGGTTCTATTGCTCCCTCTTATGGCGGTTTTACAACCACCCAAAATTACATGCTTTGAAGTTTAAAGTGACACACACTTAAACTTACTATCATAGTTTATATATATTATTTTACCCAAACTACGTTAGGTAACCTTGTTATTCCTAACAGAGGTCTTGTACACTGAAGTCCTTACTGTATTCTCAGTATGGGTAATTAGCCTAAAGCCATTGTTGAGATTCTGGATCTCTCTGGAGCAGTGGTCGCCAACTGGTGGACCATGGACCACTGATGGTCCGCGAGAAAATTTTGGTGGTCCGCAGAGAAATGTCGAGCCTGGAGGCACAGGAAATTCTATTGTGAGTGGAGGAGTGGAGAACTTTTCTTGAGAAATACCTCTGAACCTGCTCAATTGTGTTAATGTCCGATATACAGTGCGGGTTCCAGGCATATGAGCTGTATTCGAGACTTGGTCTGGCAAAGGTTTTGTATGCCCTAGTTAGCAAGTCAATGTTAACTGTTGAATTAAACATTCAATTGAGCCCAACATTTCCACTGCTGAACGAGACATCTTATTACCGCCATGCAAAATACTTTCAGGAGTAAATCCTCTTCATTAGACTAAACACAAGCCAGTCTTGTAAATTCAAGTCCTTAATATTATACTCTCACTGTGGGTAATTCGCCTAAAGCCATTCTTGAGATTCTGGATCTCTCTGGAGGGCACTTAGCTGTTGTTAAGTGAGTCTTGCCCTGTTTTGTGAACTTCCTTGCCACCGTTGTTAAGTGAATTACTGCAGTCAGTAGTGTTAAGTTAGTAACATGGTTGTTAAGCTAATCTGGATTCCCTGTTGACTTTCCTTGTCAGAAGGACGCAAAAGATCAGGTGACACTACAACCGTCATAAGTACATGCCAGTTGCCAAGCATCCAAATTTTGATCACGTGGCCACAAAGGATGCTACCAGGGTCATCAGTGTGAAAAACGACCATGAGTCACTTTTTATCAGCACCGTTGTAACTTTGCATGGTCATTAAACAAACTGTTGTAAGTCAAGGACTCCCTGTATGTCAGTTCCTGGTTGGTGTCATGCCCCTGTCGGAGTCTGAATCCGAAGAGGAAGACGAACAACTGACAGGGAGTGGGAGTGTGGCTCTATTGGCTGAGGAGGAAACTGGGGAAGGGCAAAGTCTGGCTGGGCAGAGAAGGGGAGAGGGAGTTCAGAGGAAGACCCAGGCCCACCCCCTCTTCATCCTGGGGCACACAGGGAGGAATGGAGAAGAGAACAACGTGGGTTGCATGGCTTACGGGGGAGGAAAGGGCCCTGATTCCTTTCATTAGCCACAGCTGGGAAGACAGTTTAAAAGAGATGCATGTGAGTGCAGCAGCCTGCTGGGAACAAAAATGAGTTTATCCTGTGTTGACTTTGGTTATCTGTGTTCCTGGCATCTTCCCAACTGTGTGAGTTTTGCCGTGCTTTCAAGTCTGGAATTCTTGCTCCTGTCCTGCCAAACTAATTACTTCAATTTGGCTTGATTGGACTTAAAGTTACAGTTTGTGTTGACCATGTTTTGGACTTAATTCTCTGCAGTCAAAGGCTATTCCTGGGAGAGTTTTTCTCCAGCCAGAAGGTAACCTGGACATTGGGGGCAAGTTGGAGATAATAAAGAGACTCTTATTGATTTTCTGACTGTGCTGCCTTTGTGCCACGCCCTGGGTCATCACAGTTCGGATGTCACTGAACGAACTGTTGTAAGTCAAGGACTAGCTGTCGTTGACTTTAGCAGTTGGACTATGGACACTTTCCCCTTTTTGATTTGGTTTTCATCAAAACGGGGAGGCTGCTTCTCTTGGTCGCACAAGCTGAGCAGAACAGTTTTGCCGAGAAGGCCAGGCAGATAGAAACGAAGAGGGAGTAGCACACTTCGGTTAGCTCCTGATCTGGATGTCCATGGAGATTCTCAGTCATACAGGTCGTGGTTGTCCCAAAGGTGCTTTTTTCCAGAGGCAACTGGACTTCCTGGTTTTTCTTGGAAGACCTTTCGCTTCTCATCCAAGAAGGTTCTTCAGCACTTGATCTGGATGCAAGCAGGAGTAGACAATCTCTTGAAAAGATTTCGAGACTCTAGAAAGAATGCAGATAAGAGCAACCAAGACGATTAGGGGACTGGAGGCCAAAACATATGATGAACAGTTGCAGGAACTGGGCATGGCTAGTCTAGTAAAGACAAGGGCGAGGGGAGACAGGATAGCAGTGTTCCTATATTTGAGGGGCTGGCACAGAGAGGAGGAGTGGGTTCAAGCTATTTTCTAAACTGAAGGCCAGACAAGGAATAATGGATGGAAACTGAACAAGGAGAGATTCAACCTAGAAATAAGGAAAAACTTTCTGACAGTGAGAACTATCAACCTATGGAACAGAAGTTGCCCTCGGACGTTGTGGGAGCTTCATCCCTGGAAGCTTTCAAGAAGAGACTGGACTGCCATCTGTCAGAAATGGTGTAAGGTCTTCTGCCCGGGAGAAGATGACCTACAAGGTCCCTTCCAACTCTGTTAATCTGTTAAAAATGAGGTCCACATTCCCGCAGCAGTAATTTGCTAGGGGATGCATTTTATGCTACAGGTGGCTGTAGGAATATTAGAGCCAATACTAGGTTGGGCCACTTATTCTTTCTTTCTGACACTTCTTTCCCTCTTGTTGTCTGGTTCTCTGTTATCCATGTTAGGGATTAGAAGAAAAGAATGGGAATCTTGCACTGTTTTTCCTAGCTGGCTGTTTCTGATATTATTTCGCCCCCTCCGTGTTTTCTAGGTGTCAATACCAGTTCACAGCCAAGCGTTGCCTCCTATGGAGGCCGTGGATGACCCAGACTCTCTTGAAACATTGCACAACCCAATGGGTAGCATGGAAGCAAAAGATCAAAATGAGGAGGAGAGGGAGGAAGAGGAAGATGAGGAGGACGAAGATGAGGAGGACGAAGATGAAGACGAGGAGGATGAAGATGAAGACGAGGAAGAAGGGGAAGACACGGACATGGAGGAATGGGATCCAGATCCACCTCGTCCCTTTGACCCAAATGACCTGTGTAAGTACCTTGTCATCTTCCAGAACTTATGAAACCTTTAAAGGTAAAGGTTCAAAGGTTCCCTTCTCACATAAGTGCTAGTCATTTCCAGCTCTAGGGGGCGGTGCTCATCTCTGTTACAAAGCCAAAGAGCCAGCGCTGTCCAAAGACCTCTCCGTGGCCATGTGGCCGGCATGACTAAATGCCGGAGGTGCACGGAATGCTCTTACCTTCGCACCAAAGTGGTCCCTATTTTTCTAGTTGCATTTTTTTTACATGCTTTCAAACTGCTTGGTTGGCAGAAGCTGGGACAAGTAACAGGAGCTCACTCCTTTACGCAGCGCTAGGGATTTGAACCACTGAACTGCCAACCTTTCTGATTGACAAGCTCAGCCACTGAGCCACCGTGTCCCTTTGAAACCTTTGGTGACATACAAATTCAATACATCATTTTGATTATCTTTATCCTTAAATTAAAGGTTGCTGTATTAAGGGGAACTACCATGTGCAGGTACATAAGTATATGGAAGGCAGAGAGCAAAAAAACCCACTTCCATTTATTCTCTCTTGAGTTACTGACCATATATTTATTTATTCACCAAATTGATATGCCACTCATCTCACAGTTAGAATTGGCGATATCCTAGAGCAAGGAACTCTTGAAAACAATGAATTCCCTTTGGAACAAGGAACTTGTAGCTAGTTAAGGACTTGAAAGTCATTGCCTCCCACCTTTGGGTTCGGAGTTTCTAGGTTCATTAGAAAGGGGCTATCATGCCCGTGTTAGAATCTGACTCAGAAGGAGAGGAGGAACAGCCAACAGGGAGTGGGAGTGTGGCTCCGGAGGTTGTGGAGGAAACTGGGGAAGGGCACAGGTTGCCTGGGCATTCAGAGGAAGACCCAGGCCCATCCCCTCTTCATCCTAGGGCACGCAGGGAGGAGCGGAAAAGGGAGAAACGTGAATGGCGTGGTCTATGGGGGAGGAATGGGTCCTGATCCCCTTCATGGGCTGCAGCTGTGAGGACTGTTTAAAAGGACAAACTGCTTATGGGCCAGTGCTGGAAACAAAGTGTAAAAATATTTCTATTCTTTCAGTTCATATCTGAGTTCTGGCGTCCTTCCCAGTGTGTGTATTTTGATATCTGTGGACATCTTCAGCCCTTATCCTGCCTTGTCTCCTTAATTGCTTCAGTGTGATTTGTTTTGTTTTGTTTTTATTTATAATTTATATGTATTTTGAGTTTGAACGGAAGTTCTTCCTAGTTCTTCCTTTTCCGCAACTGTTTGTGGGGGAGTTTTTTCTCCAGTCAATGATAATTGGACCTTTGAAGCTAAGTTGAAGGAGTTAAAAGGACTTCACTGGTTTTTGTGACTTTGTTGCTTTTGTATCCCACCCTGGGTCATCACAGGGGCTGCCACAAAGAACAGAGGTCACACCCTATTCTCCAAAGCACCTGAGGGCAGGCCAAGGAGCAACAGGATAGAAACTAATCAAGGAGAGAACCAACCAAAAACTAAGGAGAAATTTCCTGACAGTTAGAATAATTAATCAATGAAACAACTTAGCTCTAGAAGTTGTGAATGTTCCCCAACACTGGAAGTTTTTAAGAAGAGTTTGGACAACCATTTGTCTGAAATGATATAGGGTTTCTTGCTTGAATAGGGGGCTGGACTGGAAGACCTCCAAGGTCCCTTCCAATTCTGTTATTAAAATCTTTCTTTTCTCACCTGCCGTCTGTGTCTTTCAGGGTGCGAGGAATGCAACAACGCACACCCCTCGGTTTGTCCAAAGCATGGGCCCTTGCATCCTATCCCTAACCGACCAGTTCTGACCAGAGCCAGAGCCAGCCTCCCCTTGGTGCTTTACATAGACCGATTCCTGGGAGGGGTCTTCTCCAAGCGACGGATCCCTAAGCGCACACAATTCGGTCCTGTGGAAGGACCCCTGGTTCGGCTGTCAGAGCTGAAGGACTGCTATATTCATCTGAAGGTAAATCCCCTACCTTCCATTTTCCTTCGTCTTGTCTTGTCTGAAAGGGATTCCATGGGCTCAAAAATCATGGATAGACAATCAGATGCGAGAGAGCTAATGCAGATGTAAGACAGACATATTTATAGAATGTCACAGACATTTTTGCATTCTGGACCCAAGAAGCACGTTTTAATGAAACATTCCCTAATTGTCAAAAGCAACAAAATATGTGTTGTGGGCATGTCTCTTTCCTCTCTCTCTCTCTCTCTTCCTCTCTCCCTCTCTCTCTTTCTGTCTCTGTCTCACTCTCTCACTCTCTCTGTCTCTCTCTTTCTCTTTCTCTTTCTGTCTCTGTCTCACTCTCTCTGTCTCTCTCTCTCTTTCTCTCCTTTTCTCATGTGAATTCAGGTTGATTTCGTATTTCCCATCTTTAAAGCAAGCTTTTATTTCTGGAGAAAACCAGGAACCAAGTCTCTATCACACCTTCCCACAGACCATACTGGTCTCAAGGAATTCTTTGTATATCTTCTGGCCTACTACTTGATTTGTAAACATCGCTTGCCAAGACATCGCTGCTTCTATACGTACTCTGTAACAACTTAGCTATTTTTTGTGTTGATCAATTAGCAGACTAAAAAAATATCTTCCCATCTGATGCTATTCATCACCTTCAAGGCTTCTCTCCTCTATTAATACTGTTTTCCCCATTTTCAAATGGCATGATTAAAAACGTTCTTTGTCACGGAAGATAACAGTGAACAGGCAGCTGCTTGGGAGGTTATATGTGTGTTTTTCTTTTTCATTTTTTGCTAAAGGTGTCCCTTGACAAAAGTGACAGGAAGGACCGGGATCTACAGGAGGATCTTTGGTTTGAGTTGTCCAGCGAAGCTCTTTGCAACTGGATGATGTTTGTGCGCCCTGCTCAGAATCACCTGGAACAAAATCTAGTCGCCTATCAATACGGTCATCATATTTACTACACTACAATTAAAAATGTTGAGCCTAAACAAGAACTCAAGGTACGAGGTGACTATCTTAACAGAACTTCTTTTACACAAATCTGGTTGGTATTCCCCCCCACCGCCCCCAAATATGGAAAAATATTACTAATTCCATTCTCTGCATCTCACATTCTTCCTTGTAACTTTTGTTTGTAGCAGTGTTTTTCGAAATGTGAAGCTTTGGAAAATACTGCTTGATAGTACGGATATTCCTCAACCAATGACTACAATTCATCATCATCATCTTCTTTTTAACGACCCCATAATCCCTTGCGGGGTGGAGTCTGAATGGAGCTAGCAGAGTGTTTTAAAGGCCGGATGCTCTTCCAGTCGCCAATGCTGAGTTTTTGTTTTTTTCCAGCAGATATATTCTTAGAGAGAGAAATATCTGCCTCTGCCTAGGATCGAACTCACAGCCTCCTGATTGTGGGGTGAGAGCTCCACCTCTGGGCCACCGCACCACTCCAAATTGAGAGCAGAATTTCCATTTAGACTAAACAAAGTGGTTGTTAAGTAACTCATGCCCAATTTTATGGCAGGTTCTTTTTGCAATGGTTGTTAAGTGAATCACTGCAGTTACTAAGTGAAACACAATGCTCCTGATTAAAACTCCAAGGTGGAATGCATACTCAAGCTTGGTTTATTTTGTTGGGGTTTTTTTTTTTAATTCCCTCTTTAACTTCTGTTGGCTGGCTGTTTGTCCTACCTGACCCCAAATATGGGATTGTTTTCCCTCGGTCTTGTCTGGGTTAATAATTAGTTAATAAGATGTCATTCATCCCAGTCAGTGTAGCTCTGAGGTTTACAGCTTGGCTTGTGTAGGCGATGATATGGTATCGCAAGCAGGAAAAATCAGTCATCGCCGAGTTATTTTTATCTTTCATTAGAAGCAAATCAAATGGAATTTAGAGAGAACAGTTGGGGGGGGGGGGGCTGTAAGCTTAACATTAAAACAAAACAAAAAAAAAACCCTGGAGGCATTCACAAGGCAAGTGCCACCATCTGGCTCTTCCTGTTCCCTAAAGAGAGGGCTGCCTTTTCTGCCCTATTTCAAAGAGCAGGCAGAGAAATGCAAATTCCAACGTGGAAAAATCAGGATCTGTGATCAGCCCCTGTCAAAGCCACCCTGAACAAAACAGCACACTCTCCATTTCCCGTTACACGGGTGGTATTTTAAAAAGTGTGCCTGTGAGTTGTTGTGGCAGTCAGTAAAAGAGGATTTTTGTATACTTAAGCGTAAGATTTTGTGACTTAAGCGTAGTACACAAAATTATCTGCTACAATGTCCTACCAGTCAATGACTACTTCAGCTTCAACCGCAACAATACAAGAGCACACAACAGATACAAACTCAATGTTAACCGCTCCAAACTTGATTGCAGAAAGTACAGAGTGATCAATGCCTAGAATGCACTACCTGACTCTGTTGTTACATCCTCAAACCCCCACTCCTTTAACCTCAAACTATCCACTATTGACCTCACCCCATTCCTAAGAGGCCTGTAAGGGGCGTGCATAAGTGCACCATCGTGCCTCCCGTCGCTGTCCTATTGTCCCCATTTAATTGTACCTATTTTCTGTATTCTTACTCATGTTTATACTTATACCTATTGTTTTGTAAGTGATTGACAAATAAAATAAATAAAATAAATAAAACTTTCAGCCAAGCCATTTATACTATCTCTCCGTCACCCAAAATGGGAAATACGATTTTAAAAACCTTCTATGAATCATAATCTAGTAGAATCATAATCTAATCATAATCATTAACTTGCATAAAAGCCCTCGCATAACATGGGCAGAAATTCACGCTTGCTTATGAAGATGCAATACTTGAATCTATTTCTCCCCCCGCCCCCCCCGCTTTCATCAAAGCATAAAAGCACATACGAAATAATCACATGCTAGAAGTTGTGGATTAGTTTGGCTCAGTGAACAGAATGGAAGAGCTGAGCTGAGGAAGCCTGGAGCTGAATCATGGTTTGACCCAAAATTGATTCTGTGACCCTGGGCTCCCTCTCCAGCCTGCAATTTGTGGAGGGTGGGCACGGATTCTATTTAGCTTTTTAAAAAAAATCCTCCTGTGAATTTCCTTTCAATTTATTATCGTTGTTAGGTTTGGTATGCTGCCTCCTATGCAGAATTTGTCAATCAGAAAATCCATGATGTATCGGAGGAGGAGAGGAAAGGTATCCACATCTTACATTTTAAATAAAAATTTAGAGCTGCAAGATATTTCTTCTTTTGATAGCAGTTGTCCTTTATGTGCCTGGCTTTTTTTGCAAAGGAAGTGCTGTAGCTTTGTATAACTTCAAAGGCAGCATTTCTGCTCAATCCACTGAGACAGCTCATTGGTTAGAAGGAGGAATAAAGGACTCACAAACTATTGTGTAAATCTTTATCCGCTTTTTCTTGGGTCCACTGCCTAACTTATCACTCTATTTCTCCTTCTGAGGCTGCTTTTTATTAGAAGATAAAATATAACCTGTACGCTGAAATTGTGAGTTTCTCCAGTCATTCCAATAGCTGACAGCCCTGGGGGTTTCTAGATATTTACTATTGATTGGTTTATCTTGAAAACACAGTTCTCCGAGAACAAGAGAAAAACTGGCCGTGTTATGAGTGCAATCGACGGTTCATGAGCTCCGAACAGCTCCAGCAACATCTCAACTCCCATGATGAAAAGCTGGACTTCTTCAGCAGGTATTTCAAGGGTTCTGTCAGTCATCCAATTGAACTGTTCCACAGAAATTTCTGTCCGTGAGAAACAAGAAGTTTTCCAACAAAGAGGGTTACAGTAGTTATGCTCAGGTGCATGCATTCCTCTTTCCTTAAGAAGGGAGTCCTTCAGCGCCATTTAGGAGATAGGACAGCATTTCTGCATTTCATAGGCTTGGAGGACCAAGGTGGCAGCTGCCCATTCAGGATCCATTAGCCGTTAGCTCCAAGCCCTCTTTAGATTCTCCCCACCTTTCCACCCTCTGCAAAAGCTGAGAATCCGCCTGTCCAGGAGATTCTTTAAAAAAGATGCATGGACAACCCAAGAGAAGGTAGTTGGACAGCCATCAAAGACGGATGGGTATCTCAAGACAAATCATACATGGAATTAAGACTCTGATAAAAGAACAAGATGCTGGCTGACCCTTCCTATATCATCATTCCTGTTCCTTCCACCAGAGCAGGGGTTGGCAACCTTAAACACTCAAAGAGCCACAAAACAGCCACTCAAAGAAGCCCCCCATTCAATTCAGGAGCCGACCGGAAGTCCAATTCCCCCACCATAGAGTCTCCTCCTAGTGTGGCATCCTTTTTTCTCTGCCAACCAGAAGTCCGCTGCCGCCACCATAGAGTCTCCTCCTAGTGCAGCCTTCTTTTTCCTCTACCTGTCCTAACCAAAAGCCCAATCAATTGTGGAGCTGATCAGTGACAGGGAGCCACAGCAGAGGGATGAAAGAGCCACATGAGGCTCCAGAGCCACAGGTTGCTGACCCTTACATCAGAGGATATAGTCTCTCCTTGGTTTTCATTTTTAACTGTTTGTAGCTTAGGCCAGTGGCCCCCAACCTTTTTTGTGCCACGGCCCGGTACCGGCATCACAAAATGATCCGCGGCCCGGTACCAGCATCAGCACGCATGACAAGGCAAGGCGAGCCGAGCGACCGGCCAGCCAGCCGTCCCCTGCTTCTCCCTGCCACCTTCAACTCCTCCTTTGTACCTTTGTCGATGGGCTTCGCTTCGGGACGGCTTTGGGACGGTCGCTCGGCTCGCCTTGCCTTGGGTGCTGAAAGAATCCTCGCGCCTTAGTTTCGTTTGAAGCCCCCCCCCCTTCGATGAAACTAAGGCGCGAGGATTCCTTCAGGACCCAAACGCCGCTTTCCAACCGGAAAAGCTCACCCGGAAGCACTTTCTCGTCAAACAAGATGGCGGCGCCCAGCAAACCGGCGGCCCAGTAGGAAATGTTCCACGGACCGGTACCGGTCCGCGGCCCGGTGGTTGAGGACCCCTGGCTTAGGCTATAAAAAACTGTAGGCTAAAGACAGGGAGCCTACAGTTCTCTAGATGTGGTTAGACAACAACAGAGTTGCCCAACCTTTCTTGTTTTTACTGACCAGCAGGGGGGAGGACAGGGGATGGTTCTTTGTGGGCATGCCTGCTTGTGCAGCTCCATTTCCACGAGTGACGGGAAGCACGTGCACTGCTCCATTTGCACATGTGGCAGGCAAGAGCGCACACCGCTCCTGTGAATGGATCGCACGCTTCCACACTAACCAACTGCTTTGGGTGGTCCAGTTCGGAACAGCCCCCAGTAGCTGGGGCGCCGGAGTTGGGAACCCCTGGACTACCCTGTTTATCATCCCTAAACTTGCTGACTGATGGTAAGTGGGAGTCCAACCATGGAGAGCCGCAGTCCCTGCTCCTTTTCTTAAGTTGATGTGCCCAAAGAATGACAAGGGGCATCACAATCCTCTAACCCAGAAATCTATATGTTTTGTAGAGCAAGAGGCAGAGGTCGTGGACGAGGGAAGCGAAGGTTTGGTCCAGGAAGGCGACCTGGCCGTCCTCCAAAATTCATGCGCTTGGAAGTGACCAACGAAAATGGGGGGAAGTGTGCGGAAGAGAGCCAGGTATTCTTGGAGGGAGTGGGTGAATTGAGTTTTGCGAAAAGGAGGAACTTGAGTTTGCTTGGTGGATCCAAGTGTTGAAGCCAAGTGTCTTCAGCAACTGGAACAGCTGCTCAGCACCATTTGTATCGTCTACATTTTGGTGGCATTAAAAAAAACAAAAACCTAACGTCAGCGTTCAAAGTAACGCACCCATTGAGAAAGCAGAACTCTGATTCCTCAAAGAACAACTTTATTGGATACATCATATTGGCACAACTGGTGAAAACTGGCTATGAAAGTTCCCATGGTTTTCACCTAATCAAAGGAGAAAGTTTTCCTCCTCCCCCAATCAGTCATCAGTCACATGGTCCAGTTGAGGTGCTGGCCAATTACTTTGGTTACTTCGCTCTTCCTCTCCTAGCCACTTGTCGGAATGACCTTGGTTCCCACAGGAAAACTTCTAATTTTGACTACAACACCCCAGCTAACTATTTCCCTCCCCCTCCCATGTAGTGGCACCTGTGAAGCCTCAAAGATGGCCCCAGCCAGGTTCCTTCGGGATTTGACACCTATTTTGCAGTTTTTAAAAACAAATAGAACTTTCTCATCTCTCTCTCTACCAAAATAAGAAAGAAGAAGAGAAGAAAAATGATTTCTTGCCAATGTAGTAGTCTATGGCTTTCTCATTGGATGTGCCTTACAATGTTTAAGAAAAAACAATAATAAATGAAATGTGGTTTATGGAGAAAAAAGCTGCCTCTTCTAGATTGTAGGGCATCAGGCTAGTGGACAATCTGTCTGGCATAATGGCTGGCTAGTTAGTGGCCTTTGTCAGCAATGACCAGTAAACCTTGAAGCTGGACAGAAGGCCAGAACACGGAACTGGATTTTCTGACTGCCAGTCTCAAGAAGATTACAGGAAACTTATTAGCTCATATCATGATTGTCAACTACTTTTTTTTTTTTTTTTGCCAAGGGTGAGGGGTCCTTCTCCTATTTTTCCTTCCAGAGAACAAAACAACTGTCATGCCCCTGTCAGAGTCTGAATCCGAGGAGGAAGACAAACAGCTGACAGGGAGGGGGAGTGTGGCTCTGTTGGCTGTGGAGGAGGGCTGGGGAAGGGCAAAGTCTGGTTGGGCAGAGCAGGGGAGAGATAGAACAAGGGAGAGGGAGTTCAGAGGAAGACCCAGGCCCACCCCCTCTTCATCCTAGGGCACGCAGGGAGGAACGGAGAAGAGAGCAACGTGGGTTGCATGGCTTATGGGGGAGGAAAGGGCCCTGATTCCCTACATTAGCCACACCTGGGATGAAAGTTTATAAGAACTGAATGCTGATGGTGGCATGTGCTGGGAGCAAACGTGACTTTATCCTGTGTTGTCTTTGCTTATCTGTGTTCCTGGTGTCTTCCCAATTGTGTGAGTTCTAATTACCTCAGTTTGGCTTGATTGGACTTAAAAGTTACAGTTTTTGTTGACCATGTTTTGGACTTGATTCTCTGCAGCCAAAGGCTGTTCCTGGGAGAGTTTTTCTTCAGCCAGAAGGTAACCAGGACATTGGGGGCAAAGTTGGAGCTATTAAAGGGACTCTTATTGATTATCTGACTGTGTTGCTTTTGTGCCACGCACCAGGTCATCACAGCAACATTTTTGCTTTTTGGGATACTATAGCATTGAATGTGGGCATTGCAATTGCATCATCAGGGGCCGAACTGAAAAAAATGATAACTCTGATAAGCAAACAGCGCATAGGCAGCAGCAAAGAAAGGAGTTCGAATGATGTCGGTGTATATCAAGACTCTTATCTGTCGAGCACCAAGGAAATCAGAAAATCCAGGCAATCCAAATGAGTATAAAGATTTATTGCAAGTTCTCTGCAAGAATCTGAACTACTAAAAGGTCCAAGCAAATTGGCGGTAGATAAGAGTGAAAGGAATTCAAGGTGGGCGGGATTTAGATCTCTTATGGGCACAAAGGGATTCAAGACTGATGATGCGTTTGATCCTTCCCTCCCTCAGGTTCAATCTAGTCATCTCCTACAATATCCTTGGTTTATAATTTCAGGACTTGCTGCCCTTTGCCAGTAAGGGGCAGTTTGACGAAGCTGGGCAAGCCACCCTAAATGGACTCGACCAACCGGAGCAGACCCCGGTGGCCCCAGAGACATCCTCCTCCTTGGACCAGCTGCCTGAAAGCCAGTCCTTGCAGCTTCAGCCACAGGAGCAGACGGTGGTGGCTACCCCAAGCCTGATGACAGCAGACGACATGCGGCGAGCAAAGCGTATCCGGGTAAGTGAAGAGTTCAACCCCTGGCCAACCTTGCATTTATGTTGCACTCATCTACGGCGATGTTTCTCTACCTTGGGAACTCGCAGATACGTGAACTTCCAACTCCCAGAATTCTCCTGCCAGCCTAAACCAAACTGTTATATCCAGGCATGGAATTAAAAAATTTCCTAGTGCCCAAATTAGGGAAAAGTCAGCATTGGAGTTTTTGCCTCTTTGGCAACTCGTGCTGCTCTTTTATGAATTGTTTCGGGTGGTGGCGAAACCTCCCACGCTGGGGAAACTGGTCACCAGTTGAAATTGATTGTATTTCATTTGAGATCTGGGTCGAAAACAGTAACTGTAAGAGGGACCTTGGAGTCCTAGTGGATGGATCACTTGAATACGAGCCAGCAGTGTGCACTAGCAGCCAAAAAAGCTAATACAATCCTGGGTTGTTATAAACAGAGGCATAGAATTAAGATCATGTGAAATATTAGTACCACTTTATAAAACCCCTAGTAAGACCACACCCGGAATGCTGCAACCCATTTTGGTCACCATACTACAAAAAATGATATTGAGACCTTGGAAAAAGCTCAGAGAAGAGCAACTAAGATGACCAAAGGCCTGAAAACTAAACCCATATGAAAAATGACTGCAGGATTTGGGTTTGGCTAGTCTAAAGAAAAGAAGAATTGGAGGTGACATGATAGCACTATTCCAGTATTTGAGGGGCTGTCACAAAGAAGAGGGGGTCAAATTATTCTCCAAAGCACCAGAGGGAAGGACTAGAAACAATGGTTGGAAACCAATCAAAGAGAGAAACAACCTGGAATTAAGGAGAAACCAACAGTGAGGACATTTAACCAGTAGAATAGCTTATCTGCAAGGATCATGGGTGCGCCATCACTGGATGTTTTTAAGAAGAGTCTAGTCAGTCACTTATCTAAAATGGTATAGATTCTCCTGTTTGAGCAGGGGGCTGGACTAGAAGACCTCCAAGGTCCCTTCCAGCTCATTCTCTTCTAAAGAGTGTGAATTCTAAAGGTTGACAATATTTGGTGATCCTTTCCTGGGAACCTTGGTTTGTATAGGCTGGTTGGCAAGCAGGCATATTCTGGATGAGGTGATGTGCATTAATGGTTTGTTGGCAGCACCATCTGTACATATGTCATTGTTAGAAGACCTGGCCAAAGATGTACAGTGACCTTGACTAAATTACTAAATTTACTGAAAGACACGAATGTTGAGATTAAGGAAATTCTGCTAAGCTTTTATATTTGGGCAGGGGGAAAAATTAGCTAAGAGCAGGTAGGTGCTGCTACCTATTGTGCCCTTGTTGCTATTTAGTAGATATTTTTCAAGGTCTCACAGCTGGAAAGCGCCAAGCATCTGATATGCATTTCCAAACTCTAACGGACGTCCCCTCAACAGCTTAAACCTTTTCTCATCCTGCCTTCTGCAGTGCAAACTTGGATAAATGAAAGCATTTCTGGTAAGAAAGCTGCCCACTGCTTGTTGCGTGATGTGGGTTGAGGGATCCGTACTAATAGTCATTGTTGTTGTTTTTTAATTACAATTGCACCTTCTACCTTGCCTAGATTTCTTTCTCTTAAAGTCTGAATGCGAATTAATATTTCATGCTTGGGAAACAAGCCGTGTTTAACAAGGGAAGAGAAATGGTAGTTCGTGAGTGCAAATTTTCTTTTGGGTTTTCTCCTACTCTGTAGGGGTATACAAAGTCCCTGCTGTCTTTTCCATCTTCTGCTGGGTTGGGGTCCTGTAATTGGAGATTTCCTGTAAACAGTGGAGAAATAGTTCCTGCCCAATTATTTGCTGACATCAAACACCCCCGTTTAATTATCGAAGCATGCAGGACATTTGAAATTAAGACTGCCACACCAGTTGTGAACTGCTCCCACCCCAATCTAAAATGAAATAATTCCAACTGAAATCGGTTAATCTAGGTGGAAAGGAAACAAATTTGTGGAATATTTTCGTTTCATGTATGTGTAAAAAGAAAGA